CACCACAACAAAAAGTAATCTGAATAAGTTGCATCTATTACAAAAGAAGGCCGTACGTGCAATTTCAGGAACTCCATTTCTTCATCCAACTAAATCACTATTTAAATCCCTAAATGTCAAAACCGTTGAGCAAATGTATCCTTACAAGCTTCTGTCAACGTATCGCAGGGCTCTTCAACACAATAATGTTCATTTTATTAAACTAGTCAACCTAAAACATCGCGTCATCCTACGCAACCTAAGACAAAATGAACCCTGGATGATTCGCCCAACGCGTACAAATTACCTAAATCAGACGCTCCATTTCAGATTGTCCACCATGTTAAATAGTTTGTACAGAAAAGGTCGCCATTTTGAATCACTATCACATAGGGAATTAAAAGAACTTACTTTTCTAGGCGATTTTTGAATACTGCTGATATTTTTCGTTATGAACTGGATGTATTATTTCATGTACGATTGTATCATTGCTTTAATTATTCGAGTTCTTCTTTCACTGGCCTGTGTGTTTTTCGTCTATATGTTTTCAACAAATTTAGTATTGTATAAATCAAGTTTCTGCATTGGTGTGTACTAGTCTCTGTACACTGTGTAGTTGTAAACTAAATTTTAGTCGTTAAATTGTTTGAAGCTGTCGCAAACTGTACGGGGGCTGGGACCCTTGTCAAGCTGCTCTTTAGCAGCTTTTTGCCCCAGTCCCTGTTGTCATGTAAAATGTGACAACGAATAAATTTGATTTGATTTGATTTGATAAGGCCCTTGCCCGTTGAATGAACAGCGAAACCGCTAATTCAACTGTCTTTGAGTCACGTCTAGAGAAGAAGCAATTCATTATCTTTAACAGTTATTTCGTGTGCGCCAGCAAAGCGACCATTCAGTATGGTTCACATTCAGGCGCATGAGGCTCTTGCGGTGTAAACATGTCGATCTGATTTTCGGTACATCTAGTGTGAATAAAATGAGCCCAGATTACTGCCTGAAGGTATTGAAAAGTAAAATCAATGCGATTTCATTATTTTTGGAAAGTAATCGTTATGTGATGTAATTACCTTTAGTCTGCGGGAATTTGTAATGCAATTTAATTAAATTTTTTTCAGTTCTCCGGGAAGCAGTAATGAAATTTATTTACTTTCTGAAAGTGATTTTGCCATCTATGCTGCGATGCATAGTTTGTTTACCCGGCCCGAAAAACACGGTTCTCGTTTCTCGGGAACTCCCTGTATATGTATATGTATATGCATATGTATAGTTATATGCGTATGTATATGCATGTATACGCTTCACCTTCTTACGCCAATCTCAGTGTAACAACACTCCATTTATAAGTCAAAATATATCTGAAAAAAAAATGTTTCTTTAGCCTCGTCCTTATGCCGAGCCCCCCCCCCCCCCCCCCCCCCCCACACACACACACACTTTATGGATCCATGTGGTTGGCTCAACAAGTGTTCAGCGAAAAAGCAGACGCACGGACATAAAATGTAGGCCTGCCTTGCTGCCAACATGGAGGAACAATAGGGAGCCAGGATTTCAGGGAACGAGAAAGCGATATTTAACGAAACTTGGCATACAAACACGGTGACAAACAATCCGAAACTCCCCGAATAGATAGCCAGAATCCGTATAAGAAGGTTGGGCGAGGCGATTGAAGTGGATCATTTATACGCTCTGGATATCTCCCTTTGCGCATTAGTTGAGTCACTGATAGGGTGAGAACTGCAGGGAGGCTTTTCATTTGTCCCACCTCCAGCGCGAGCTTCTATTGGCGGTTTTCAACACGTGTTTTTCACATGAAACGTGGTTTGTCACTTCAGGGGGATACTAGAAACTTGCGAAGCCGAAAGATGAAGCCACCGATTAACTCGTTAATGAATGGCTGAGCCAGGCGACGCTGTCATACCCCCTAGCTTGACGCTGATTGGCTGGTTCAGGTATGACGTCGCGTGCGAGGCCACGCTTATTCGACACTGATTGACTGGTGATTGCGCAATCAGTCGCGCGCCACCGCCCGCCCGCTAGACGGTGGTTGGATGTCGTCGGAGAAACATCCGCGGCTGTAAGGGCTTCTGGAATGCCGCCAGGGGTTTACAACCCCAGGTAGGGCCGGCATCTCTGTTCCAGGAATTGCAATCGAGTTTACATGCCACGCTTTAAAGGGACACTGACAAGGTATTTATGCCGGCCAAACTTTTATTTGTACAACAGAAATGAAATATTATAACAATTTTTTGTGGTTTCTAAAAAGACGCAAATACGTTCATTGAAAAAAAGAAAAAAAAAAGAAAGAGTCGCAGCCACGTGACTTTTGCTTACTATCTCCTCCTCTATAATTCTTCTTCCTCACTTGTCCAGTTTCGGTTTCGGTTTCGAGCAGTTGCGTTTTCTTCACTTCAAATATACGTGACGCTATAGCAAAATATTGATTGGATAGCCTTCTGACACCATGATAAATCGCATAGAGGAAATATAAAACAAAACTTTGGCGAGGGGGGGGGGGGGGGGGGGGGGGGTGTCCGTGTCCCTTTATTTAATCCAGTCGCTAAACTAACCGATGAAGAGTTCCGCGAGCGTGAATGTCATGCCGCAGGAATCGGAATGAAACCACTCGTTTCACGTGGAACACAATTGCCCAGAAATATGCTATGCATTTTTTAAACAAAGTTTCAGGGCTACGTGTTTTGACCGCCAGACGCTGGTAGTATTTGATTCACTCAAGAAGGCTAGAGCGCGAACCTGCCGCCGCACCCTCTGTCCTAGCCCCTAAAGTGCCGTCGATGTTGCTGCAGTTGCCACTCGTTTGTATAGCGCTCCGGTGCTTTGTAAGCGGTGTTGGAGGTAACGCAGTAACGTACTCGTTAGTATTCTGAATGATTAACGAGTAAAGTATTTTCGTTATTTTTTTACGGTATCGGCTAAAAATTACGTTATCGTTGGTCGTTACTTTTTACCAAAACTGGTGAAATATATTAGGTATCTGGGAAAAAGTCACGACGTCTGATCTAACATTTAGATTTGCCAATCTTGTGCATAAAACAGGAGACGTTAGGGGAACTAGACTTTGCTGGAGACGTTAGGGCAACTAAACTAAACTGGAGACGTTAGGGGAACTAAACTCGAGGAACAACTACTTGCGCTCGAGCACGCAATGCCCAGGTAATGCCGTATCTTGCTGCTAAGACTTCTGAATCTTTGATCTGTTAAAACGGTGGGTTTTCCACTTATCAGTCCAGCTATTCACCTATCCCTCTCAAAATGCTGCATCGCTGCACAAAACCAGCATCCGTCACAGTAAACATTAAAAAAACACAAAAAACTTTCTGACCAACAGAGACGAACACCCTTTGTGCAATTTTTTACCCTCGCTCTTCCCCTCGCTACATAAAAGTTCCTGACTCACTTTTGTACACAGAAGAATCTTTCGCTTGATTAGTCTTTACTTCACTAAAGTCATAATAAAAAAAAAAAGTTTTAAAGCTGAAAAGAAAACTTACAAACACGAAACTTTTTTTTTTTCGCGGAAAAACTAAGAGCTACTGGTGGTAAGGGCAAGTGATTATAACCAGTGTGCTGGTAACCGGTGTCCTGTTCGACATAGTGAAGTAAATCAGTCTCTGGTAATAGTATGAACCGGACTGTTACTAAAACCGGCGTAAAGATGAGGGGGTGTTGGTTGGCTGGTTGTGTTCCAGCAGTCCCCGCTCGCATGCTGTAGTTTATAAAAGTCGATTGACTACACTCTCCGACTCATTATACGTGTGAGATGAGCATGAACAAAAAAAATTGGCTTGCTCTTTATGTTTATACAGCCTTGATGGAGATGCGCCTCAACGGGTAATCGGTCGCTTAGCTGTAGATGAGAAATTTGGCCAGTGCGGTACAACCGCTAACCTGGGGTTTTTAACGTGCATCACGCAGTAGTGATCACACGAACGCGTGCCGGTACGAAACTCATCCAGATCGAAACGGGCGGGGGCGGCGGGGATCGAACCCAGGAGGTTCCCAGCGCAAGCTTTCGCTCCACGCTCCGAGCTGAGACGTGTTAGCCCACTCGGCCACTTCCTCCCCTAACATGAATAACGAAACTCCGTCGCTATGGCCAGGATTGAAGGAAATGTATCAACTAAAGGAGTCGCAATCAGATAATTTACAGTTTCAATGCCTACTCTGCATGCCGAAAATTAAGCTGCTTCGGGCATCAAAGACGTCTAGTTCTAACTTAAAAAAGCACATCAAGGTGAGTACGTTTCTCGATTATAGTTAGTTTTCTTTTCAGCTCGCTTTTCACAATGTTCACGGATCGTGGGTAATTTTTATAACTTGCTGATGCTTCACTGCCGTCGTTGCTTTATGCCAGTGCTAGCGCTCCCAGAACTTCTTAATAAGTTCATTCACGCATTCCGCAAACATGTCGACCATGGTCATAATCTAACATATTAAGCAGGTGGGCTAATATTGAATAGTTCTCTCTTTCACGAGGCCGAAGGCATGTTTGGAAGCGAACACATCTCTGCCAAACATAAGTACTGGAACACAAAGGTAACGTAAAAGTAACGTTCGTTATTTCTGAAAAGTAACGGTAACGGTATATCGTTACGTTTCTAAAAGGGTAACGTAGCTCTATAACGCGTTAATTTTTACCAAACTAACGAGTAACGCTATCTCGTTACTTTTTTTCGGTAACGGGCACAATACTGCTCGTAAGCGAGAGTGCACGCGTAGCCAAAGCCTTACGGAGTGCAGCAAGCGCGTGCTGGAGACTGGGACTCAAAAAGAGATGCCCTGCCGGTATCCTGGTAGTCAGCATATTTTATTTTGGCGGTTTAACCATAGATGCGTTGTGTGCGTGAACTCCGTTGGTGCGTTCATAAAGTGCGTTTTTATATTTTGCCACGAGTGGTAATATTGAGCTGTAGTGTAGAAGAGGGCAACTATTTAGCAAATAAGCTAGCTAGTAATGTTTTTCGTGCTAAATCTTCCGACGATAGTGTTTGTGAACGTACCGTATAGTTGGCCATGAAGTCCGGGTTTTGATCGTTGTTTGCCTGGAATGACAAATCGAAAGACGTCTTACTTGCGTGTTCACTCACTCAATAACTTGAATATTTGAGAAGGCTGAAATAATGACCACTCATATAAATGTTCTTAGTTAACGTTACGACATGGTTGGCACGCAAAACCAACACATAATTTATGAAAATATCACAGAGCACGGCTCAAACCTTTTTAAAGCTATAATGTTCAGTTAGCGGAAAAGGCAAGGTGCAATTTGATCCTTGTGCAAAATAAAAACTGAATCTTAGGCATGTTCCGAATTTTAGAATGTCTTTCTTTTTTCAGAATGGCTGTAAGCCATTTTGTGTGCCGCTTTCGCGATGACGCAATACATGATTTTTAATTTTTATCACGCCGTGGAAAAGCGGGCTTCGGGAATGTTGACATCCTATCTGGTCGTTTTCGACGCAGAACTCGTGCATAACCTTACTTCATCAATCACATGTTACTGCAATTCACTATAGCTCCAAATAGTTATTTTTAGAACGTTTCTAGCTATTCGTTGAATGACTAAACCTCTGTGGTACCCCCGTGCAACCGAGAAATTTGCTTGTTTAGCTTACCCTCGACCAAATGTGATGAAATGTTCCAATGTTGAACGCTCTCTTGGTACAAAGATTAGGCGCAAAACTTCAGGCTTTGAGCACTTGCAAGTGTTTATGTGCTTACAAAAAACTATGATGTTGTTTTATTGAAGCTATTGAGTCAGCACTGTATTAAATGTAAACAATTTTTCATCAAACTTTTTTTAGCTTTTCAGTTCACTTACTTTTATACATTGAACTAATAATCCGGTAAACAAGTTTTTCGTCGCCTCAATGTAGCTTTAAGTGTTCCTTTTTATCTGAAAAGCTATGTCTATCAAGAAAAAAAAAAGCTTTGTATCTATGGCTTTTTATCCTAGCGTTTTCATTTTTTTAAGCTGAATACTGTTCTCCTCTGGATTGTAAACTGCAGCATAATAACGTAAAAAAAAAAATTGTCACCACGCTTTTTATATAGTCCGTTGCAACTCAAGAAAGCAGGGCTAGGGTAAGACAGCGGGGAGGAGGAAGCAGGCGAAACGCTAAAGGGAAAAGAAGGTTTCCCTTCTCTTCTCCAGCGTTCTGTCTGCTTCCTCCCCCCCCCCCCCCCCCCCACCCGGTTTGTCTTACCCTCGCCCTACCTTCTTGAGTTGCAAAGGACTACAGCAAATATGCTTTAGACGTAACATGCACCCCACGCAGTTATCAAGTCCACAAAGTCAAGGAACACAAACGCCAAGAAATACGCTCAGAAACTTGGCAGACAATAGGGAGTTTTCGTAGATCGTTTTCGCCGTCCCGCAAGGCCCTCCGCAACCCGCTACGATAGCGGGAACTCCACAGTCAAGGCTATCGGCGCGCAGGCGCAGTAGCAACTTCTTCGTTGCGGAACGCCTAGCGGAGGGGGCAGCGCGGTCTACGAAAACTCCCTATTCCCTTGAGCAACCAACAGGGAATCAACGGCAATCGGAGTAATCGGAGTCAAGAAAAAGTCCACGCGTTTTAAATAAGAAGTCAGGAAGAAGCACGACATTGAGCGACAGTTGTGACAGCTGCAACTGACTGGCGGCAGAAAATTTCTAGGTTTTTTATCAACGAGGTTTTAAACCAGATCAATCTCCTTTACGAAAAATTGCCATATTTTAATACTCAAATCTAATTTTTAATAAAGTTTTGACAGTTGTCTTAAAGGGGCCCTGCAATCACACTTAAGCATCTACCTTTTTTGAAGTTTCCACATCTCTTGGGATTCGGGCAAGCCAGCGGGCACGGAGAGAGTAACGAAATATCAGTGCGTCATATTTTAACCGGACGACGCGGAGACCTCCTCCACCTGCGGGGGCAACCCGCGGTGCCGAAAGCGCGGTGCCGAAAGCGCGCGATATGTGAAGTCATTGTTCCCGGGCTAACTACTGGTCAGAGCCACTAAAAGCTTATATTTTGTCGAAATCTAAAATATAAGAGGCGCGAACCGTTTCAAGTATTTATGAAGGTAGTTTTTGTTCAGTATTTGCGATCAGAAAGGAAACAAGTGCAGTTTATAAAGTACGACAACAAAAAATTACCCGTCGACATACCCGCGACCATGCGGTGGAAAGAGGGGCACATACTAGAAAGGTGTAGTGGGATCAAGCACCGACGAGCGGCGAGCGCAGAAAAGTCCCGGATGTACGCGGCGGCGCTCCGGTCGTATTCCGGCTCGAGGATCCGACCGGTTCCGGGCGCTCAAAGCACTTTGGCGAGCAGGTTGGGCTTGCGGTTTCACCGTTTGTCGGCATGGCAGCGCGATGTGGCTCCCGTTCTGAACTGATCTTTGCACCTTGTTTGCTGTCGTTTTTGACCAATGAAATGTCGAGCCGAATTAGTGTTTAATCGCGCAGCAAATGCAATGAGAGCTGTCCTGGCTGCCCGCTTCATACAGCCTATCCAGAACATGCTTTATTGGCGCCCTCTCGAGCCATCGACACGGAGTGCGGCAGCCGTGAGCGCTCGCTGAGCTCATTACTCCTCCTCTAGTTTACGGCCACTCAAGCGACCAAGGACATCATTGAGGAGGTTATTTTTGGCTTGTTTTTGTAATTTTCGTTTGCCTATAACTTTTAAAATAAAACGAGATATTCGAGAACAAAACATTTTCATTAAGTTACGACGTTCAGTGCGCTCAGGTTCGGTGCAAATTAAAAACCTGTAAAAATTCCTTACAGGGCCCCTTTAAAACTATAATCGATTGATCTGTTCACGTGAGATATTATACACCCGAGTCCAGTCACAATATTTGTTCTCGTTGATATTTTTATATGGTACTCCTCAATGGGTGTCACAGAAACGAGATTAAAACGTATTTTAAAAACAAATCTTCCGAGAGAATAGCAAGTATTTGACTGCATTAAGGAGGCATGCAATTTTTTTATTCTTTTGTTTTGGCGAAATTTATAATGGCCTATAATACTCAAACAAAATATATTCATTCTCAAAAATGCTACGCAAGTAATAACTCATGGTGATTATACTATATCCTTATTGTGAAGATTATATGTATCGCGATTCAAAAATGCAAGCACATGTCTATTTTGACGTTTTGTCACTACAGTTGACTATGGCTATTTCATATTACTTTAAAGCTACAACATTAAAAACTTGATTATATGTTCTTTATCAATAGGCCATCTCAACGCAAGGATGCTCCAGAAGTTCGAAGTCTCGCCAAACCCGTAGAACCCCATGGTTCGACGTCGAACTTTAGGTTCGCCAAAAGTTCCACGACATCCCTAATAATGACTAGTCTTCTATTTGTGGGTAAATTCATGTTATACATCTGTGCCATGACAAACATGAGCAGCATTTGACTCCAGTCAGTGCAGCAGTTCAATGTATCACCGCATGAGTGTGCCGCGTCCAGTGGTGGGCTTGCGCCTCGTGTTTGTTCCAAAAATGTCGCTGTCTAGGAATCGTGAGCTGAAACAGAACTCTCCAGAGCGAAGTGACGAAGCAAATTGCGTTTTTTTTTTTTTTTTTTTTTTTTTGCCGATTGCATTTTTTTTTTTTTTGATATTAGTATGTATCAGTCTTGGTGTGCTAGCCTTTGGCTTCCGTGGCATTAAAAAACAGAGAACGTTAAATAAATGGCGAGGTAGATAGCACAAATTATGCTTAAGCGCCCGAACACAAAAAGGTAAGAAGAAAAGAAACGATAAACAAATTAGCTGCTTACTGCTTCGCAGATGTCTGTCAATAGGTCGGATTCGTTTTTGCTTCCACTTTGCATATAGGTTTTCCAATGGTCTGTCAGCTGTAAAAAAAATAATTAAGTTCTAACTTAGATAATTGAGGTACGGCTGCTAATTTTTGTATTTAATGCACAGATTAAACAATCGTCCAGATTCCGTGTGAAATGGACCCGAATAATGGACCGGCGCATAAACTACTCGAATTGTTTTTATGTGTATTTTAGTGGTCGGTTTTAAATCATAAAATTTTAAGGCGCTGGTCCGTTCCAGTGTGAGAACAACATACTCTAGTATTTGAATGACATAGAGTGATGCATACGACTTAGTTTAATAGACCGATCTCAACAGGAGTTGCGCGACGCCACCGCTGTTGCGGTGCATCCTGGGACCTGTAGTTCTGGTACCTGTAGCAATGACTCTAAGTATCATGCTGGCGGCACCACTTTTGGAATCCGCGCGCCTTCACAGTTCGCCTGGTCAGAGATCGGTCTATTCACCATGACCTCCCAGTTTGCGGCTTGCGCACCCGCGGTCTCGTAAACCAGGGGTTGATAATCCTATTTTGTGCTTATATCAAAAGGTGGGGTCAGCATGTCGCAGTTATGAAATGCCATGTTGTTGGTACAATAAATGATATTCTTTGTATAATATAACCTCCGTTGAAGTTAAATATGCACAGCAGGCTTGAGCCCGAAACTAAAATGAATAAAGGCAAGCGCAATAGACCTTTCCGAAAAATACCACAAGGCCACTCGTCAATCCCACATTGTACCGTCGCGTGGCACGGCGAATTGTGGGGCCGTTCCAAATGTACTCTCGGGCATAGAGTTATTATAATGTAATCTAGATGTTCAACTGGCATTAGTGTCTGTGGGACTTCCCGTTTCAAATTGGAGCACACAACAACCACTTCACTTTTGCGGTGCTACTGTGCATTCCTGCGGAAAAACGCGCGTGCATTGTCTCTCCGCCGTAGAATAACAGGAATTGCCTTGGTTACTTGGGTCGAATAGTAGGTACCCTTGTTAACATTATAAATGTGAAACTGGTTTAGTTACAGTAGTTTTCCTATCAGTGATCGATCTTTAACTTCCTTGTATACCGGGCCCAGTCCTATGCTGCACAGCAAGCGTGTAAAGACAGGCGGCGAATCTAAGCAGGAATAATAGTCGAAAAGGACGCAGGGCTCGTTCAAGGAGCATCAACATCCCAATGACGCTAATAGTGATAACCTGCGAGATTACGAGACCCCCCCCCCCTGGGGTCACGTGACCCCGGGGGGGGGGGAGGTCACGTGACCTCGGGGGGGGGTCACGTGACCTCGAGGGGGGGGGGGGCGGGTCACGTAACCCCCCCCCCCCCGGTTACCCCGACGCCGCTAAGGCTGGAAACGGGCCCCTAAGAGCTGCGCTCTAAAATGGCGCACTGATTACTTGGCTTTATTTTCTGTTGATCGTCTACATGCACAGCTAGGTACTGATCAGTGTTGTACGAAACGGCGTTCCAAGGAACGGCGTTCCTGGAACGCGTTCCTTTTAGGAGGAACGAAGGAACGCCACCGTTCCATTTTGCATCGCTGGAACTGAAACGGGAACGCGTTACATCTTAGAGCGCAGCTCTTAGGGGCCCGTTCCCGGCTTGAGCGGCGTCGGCGTCGGCGTCGGCGTAACCAAGGTCACCCCAAGGTCATCCCAAGGTCACGTGACCCCCAAGGTCACCCCAAGGTCACGTGACCCCTCCCTCGTGACCCTTCCCCCAGGGTGACGTGACCCCCAAGGTCACGTGACACCCAAAGTCACGTGACTCCCCGAGGTCACGCGAAACCCCCCGCCCCCCGAGGTCACGTGACACCCCCCTCCCGAAGTCACGTGACACACCCCGAGGTCACGTTTCCACCCCCGAGGTCACGTGACCCCCACCCCCGAGGTCACGTGACACCCCCCGAGGTCAGGTGACCACCCCCAGGGTCACGTGACCCCCGCCGAGGTCAGGTGGCCTCCCCGATGACGTCATCGTCAATGATGACGTCACCGGCATCCGCATCGTCATCGTCATCATCACTGATGACGTCATCAGTGACGTCACTGATGACCCCACCGGCATCCACATCGTCATCGTCATCATCACTGATGACGTCATCAGTGACGTCAATGATGACGTCACCGGAATCCGCATCGTCATCGTCATCATCACGAATGACGTCATCAGTGACGTCACTGATGACGTCAGCGACATCCGCATCGTCATCGTCATCATCGCTGATGGCGTCATCAGAGTCCGCATCGTCATCGTCACTGATGACGTCATCAGTGACGTCACTGATGACATCATCGGCATTGACACGTGACTCCCCAGGTCACTTCACCCCCCCCCCCCCAGTGCCCTTCCCTCCTCCTCCTCAAGAGCTGCGCTCTAATTCGGTGTTACAGGGAGTTGTAAACGGCTTTCACTTTTTTACTGGAACGGAAAGAGTAACGGCGTTCCTTTTTTTCGTCCAGTGGGGTCATTTTTATTTTATTTCTAACAGAGAAAGTATGAAAAAAAAACAATATCTTTACGAAGTGCAGGATCTCGTTAACTTTTTGGCCACTAAGCTTATGAACTATATTGTGTGGTCCTCGCTTGCTAACAGTTAAGGGTGCAGGAGAGCTGGTGGGCATTGATTCTTTTTTGAGTGCCCGAAACTGCGGTACAAAAAGCAAAACTTTTAGTAGTAGGAAAAGACAAAGAAGGAGGGTTGTTTTCAACTCGGTTACTTTCTTTTGTTCCACTAATCCTTACACACTCAGAAATCGTATTCTGACTACAACCATTTCTGAACTTCAATAACGAGACCTACAGTTACAACAAGATCACAGATTGCCAGATATCGGACTCACCCTTGTATAACGAACATTGGTCACTTACAAAATACACAAAAAATAACCTTTATTCCTTCTCTTGTCCCCCAACTTAGAACTGAACAGCAAATCCAACCTTCATAACGAAGTATTGGTAGCTTTCAAGAGTGACTTTCCAAAAGCCCTACCTTCTCCTTTACTTGCTCGTCTTGCGAACAGCGACATCGAGAAGCAACTGTTGTTAAGTTCTAACACGGGAGTCCGTTAAATTGAAACGTGCGAGGTTGTTGTAAAACGCTTGTGCTATCTTGGGTAAAAGTACACTTGGCTCGTCTGAATTGTGCACTACAAGCATGGACATGGTTAATAGCTGAGGTTTTTACCATGAATATATCAAGAAATGAAACCCTGCTTCCGCGTGTTTTCTTCTCCGGGTGCCCTTCCATCACGACATAGAAACTTATATATATATATATATGTTGACTGTTAACGGGATAGATAAAAAAAAACTCTGCTTGATTTAACTAAATATGGTAATTAGCAAAAAACACAAATGTAACGTATATGTAACGACACGTTCCATTTTTTAAACTGTAGCGGGAACGAGTTCCTTTCTCATAGATGGAGCTTGTAACGGGAACGCGTTCCAAAAATCAGAAGGAACGAGGAACGAGCTTTCGTTACTTTTTTTGAGGAACGTGTACAACACTGGTACTGATACCGTGTTGTGCGTAGTTCTTGATGTCTTTCTTTATTATCGCACTGGGATTTACTACAGAGGTGCCTAAAGCTGCAATGGTGGAAGGTTTCGCTAAAATATTGGAAAGATTGGCTGACCTGAGTAAAATCCAAAAAACTATTACAATGCGTTTTCCCTATACGTTCAAGTACACTAATAAAATATTATGTGTTACTGCATGTGGCGCTCATTTGGGCCAAATAAAGTGAAGAATAGAAAGTCCAATTTGATTTTCTTTCCATTTCACAATTTTTTTTAATCGTAATATTCGCCAGAATGACCCACAATGATTTTCTGGTAATTTTGAGATAAAACGCTCAGCGATCATTTTTTTTTTTATAGAAAAAAAGAAAACAGTTTTTCTTTTCTTTCTTTTTCATTCCAGAGGTTTCATGCATTCATACCCTCAATTAATAAATGCATCAGCTTCGAGCACCTCTGCAGTAAATTACATTGCGATAAGTTAAGATACTGATTTATGCGGTCAGTTTAAAGTGCGTTCAATCCATTTCGCACAAGCTGTATAGTTGACGCGGGACGTTAGGCTTAATTGGGCCATTCCCACTACGAAAACAAACAACCCGCACAGTGCTTTCGAAGGCGCGTACTTGCGACAGGTGTTTGCTAGAAACTAGGTCGGTTAGGGAAATTTCCTCTGAACACATTGCTGAACACAAAACGACTCACGCCCATATAAACAGACGAGCTCAACATGCTACGCTGGTTGCGCGCGCCGGAAACGACGACAGTCATGTTTCTTGTCGCTCGCAACCAAAGCCGGAGAGGCAATCTCGGGTTATTTTTTTTTTTCAAACAATAATGAGTTTATCTAGATTATTTGTTCCTTAAACGATAAAACTACTATTACGGCACCAAAACCAATTTTACATCGGACATTTCACACGGCAATCATCTCTCCAATCAAAGAAAGCCGAGAAATGGTGCTTAGCTTTAGTTAAGCACCTTTTGTTTCGGGCTACCTCCACCTGAATTACTTCTAGTGGCGTAAATATTAATAAAAACGATTCGCTTTTGTGAAAAAAAATTAAAAAATGCGTCAATGTCAAACCATTTGAAAAGTCTTTTATAATTTTATTTAGCATATTTTAAGAGTTTTCGTACGTTCATGTTGGTGCCGGCTATTTTACTTAATTGATGAAGGATTACTAAGGTATTTGATTAAACTTACGTTTTGTGGGAGATGCTGTAACGTGCACTGCAGCGAGGGTAATGCCAAATTTGATTTATTTTTCTTCAGGCCTTAGAAATAAAACAAACAAAAATTAAGAAACGAATCGGCAGCAATTGTTGTCTACAAAAGTATTTAAGGAGTGATCGTTTAAATTTGTCCAAGACACTTCTCACAGTCGTTTCGCCCGCAGTGAATAACATAATGTTAATTGAATGACGTCACGTGATCTGGCGTAATTTGACACCACAATTTGGCACCCTGACAACGCACCCGTTTACCTGACGTCACGGAGTCAAGTCAGGGTGTCACGTGACGTCAAATGGTGTCAAAGTCGAAGTTGTAATTATTTTGGCATAAATAGGGGTTGGAAGAAGAGAGATTATATTCATGGCGGGTTTTTTAAAGTTTTCAGAAAGAACTGTTTAAACGCTAAGTTCCGGCGAAATTTTAATAGTCACTAATGTGTCTCCTAAATAGGTCAACCCATTGTTTCAACACATAACACAATGCCACCGTCTCATACCGGAGCTTAGAGGTGGTGTGATTACGCTTTTTAGAGGAGTCGAGGCAAGAGAAGCCGCCACTTTCCCCGAATACAGGGGCTTTAGTCTCGACAAGGAGGTAGCACCATCTATCAATACGTGCGCCAAGCTCCCCCCGTCACTCGACTCGGTCGTCTGCATCGCTGCCCGCCGTTGACCCTGGCCCTATCTATTGCAGAAAGAGAGCTCCGCTTTGTAATTTTGTAAGATAAAACTGACCTGTAAAATACACCTTTGACAAAACGTTTAGATTTCTACGTGCTTGCGCCAATTTTTACGGCCCATTTTAGACCGAGCCTGGTTATTTTAGACACCCCACATATACTTTGACGACCATCAGCGCTCCGAACCCCTGCACAGTTCTCCCTCAGAAATGTCCCAATGGCAGCTGCACCAATGAACAGGGACAGAAACACCCCCAACATCAACCCTTCACCCTCGTCCAGAAGCTCCATTTAAACCATCATCTCCATTTTTTTTTTATCTTGCTGTACAATAATATTTTATCATCAATCAACGCGGCGCAGCGTGCCTTTACGGTATGGGCGGCTTGCCTTTCCACGGCGCCGCGGCTCTTCAGGGCTCAAGTAAATATCAATATCGATATTAAACAGGAAAACGCAAAATAATTTTGACGTAATCACACAGACATAATACAGGGAATGAAGAATGGAGATGCCGGTGATGATGCAATAAATGGGACACAAAATGATCAGCAGGATGCAAAATCAGAATGGATACGAAGCGTTTGCTGAGCGTCGCAGGGCCGTTTCTTCGCACGCTCTTACTTTTGCGCCGGTGGCCGGACGTCAATGCAACAACCGCGGCCAGCCGCAGGCTGCTGGGATGGTCTCCGCGGGCCGGATCTCGGCCACGGGCCGGGGTTTTGAGACCCCTGCTCTAATGCCCGAGTCCCATTAGAGCGACAAATAAAAACAACCGACACGGACAAGCCTCCAATACATGCAGCATGCTCGCGATGGTACCTTTGGGAGGAGTTTAGTCGATCGGTGCTCATGAAGTAAGCACGAATGATTGCAAACCTGCCAAAGTTACCCTCGCGAGCATGATGCTCGTGTTTGAGCATAGCCTCCTTTATCCTCAAAGCCTGTCAAATCACGAAAGAATCAGTTTTGAGGCTTGTCGCTGTCGTTTCTTTCTGTTGGTCGCTCTAGTGGGACTCGGGCATAAAAGACGCTATTTACTAGTGGCGACATCAGAGAGTTTTCGTAGACCGCGTTTCCCCTTTCGCTAAGCGCTCCGCAACGAAGAAGCCGCTACTGCGCCTGCGCGCCAATAGCCTTGGCTCTAGAGTTCATGGTATCGTAGCGGCTTGCGGAAAGCGTTGCGGGACGGCGGAAACGATCTACGGAAACTCCATATCTACCCATAGGCGCAGCCAGCAAACAACAGAGTGCGTCGTCTGCTCGCTGCGGCTATCGGGAGACAGCACCCTATAGAAAATAGCGTGCTTAGCGTCGCTTAGAGAACTCTCTAGCGTTGTCGTGACTTTGGCTAATATTTTGCTCTATTTTCTTTTTTTTTCTTTTTTTTTAAGGTAGACAATTACGTTTTGAAATTTCAGCTCGGTGCACAATGGGTGAAAGTTTTAGCCTTCTGTGGGAGGCGCCGAATTTTCCGGCTCTCCTTACAACGGAAGGTCCGCTTATGCCACCCTATATATTAGGGAGTTTTTGTAGATCGTTTCCGCCATCCTGCAACGGCTCTCGATATTCATGAGACGCCGAAGAGTTCTCGAAGGTAGGAAATTCGCGCTGCAGGAGACGGAACTACTCAAGCTTCACCTTGCTATTTTCTCATTCTCAGCAACTACATATATCCTAAAAGTATCTTTATTTTGGTATATAGAGTAGGTTTCTGCTGAAGCTTTCGAAAATCCCTAAAACTATGCTGTTCGAGAAAACACGAAATGTTTTGCGGGAACAAACTACCAACCGTGGCGCACTTTAAGGATTGCTAAAACATACAAAATAGCAAATAATTAGCTAAGATTTATTAATTTGTTTCCCTTAATGAATCTAAACATATGGTTTCATTGAAAAACTTGCTAAGCATCATTGAAGACCACTAAATCAACTTTCTTTTTTAGACAAATATAAGGCAAAGCCAGCATTTTACGGCGTCCTAAACAAAAAAAAAAAACGTTTAGTTTGGACGCGTTTCTGCGTTTCGATTTCTTATCGTAGCGCATCTTTGCGCCCGCGGTCCTGCTCCCAGGTGGCCACGGCTGGAAGCCACCGCCTCGCCTCCCTCGTAGGATGGAGGGAAGTAGGACGCACGTGTTTCGCGCGTCTCGGTCCTTGAGCAGTAGGTATTTTGTATATAGAAAATAGTTTTCTTTAGGCACGGGAGTATAGCAATGTTGTACTAATCAGTATAAGTTATAAAATTTAGTTTCCAGTGGAGTAATCAAGTACACTCTAAAAAAAGCCCGTGCGTCTGCTTTCCCGCACAACACTCGGAGATCCAATCACCGCAGCTTACGGAGGCAGCTCAGCGACTACAATGCGGAAACATATGTTTAGACCGAAAACCGCAGTCTGAGTTGTGACATTAAGTAATGCAAGCGCGACGCGTTGCATTGCTTAATGTCACAACTGAGACTGCGGTTTTTGGTCTAAACATATGTTTCGCCAGTGTCATTCGCTGAGCTGCCTCCGTAAGTTGCGGTGATTGGCTCTTCGAGTGTTGTGCGTGAGAGTAGACGTACAATCTTTTTTAGAGTGTTAAGAAACTTTCGTTTCCTTACTTCATGTGTCTACCCTTTTTCTCTAATAAATGTTAAGTTTTTTTTTTTTTTTGTCTTTTTTCAATTTAGCCAGTATGAACGGTAACACTATAGTCGGTTACACGTTAAAGGGGCACTCAAGTGGTTTTTAAGTTCGTGTTTTGATGATGACAACTAAATCTAGACACCTTAAGTATCCCTAAAAACCAAAAATTTTAGTCATATGGCGATTATTTTTTTAATAAAAATGCAATTGAAGGCCGCCGAACCTCGGATCCATCTGAAAACGAAACCACTCTCATTGGTCACCGCTCGCATATAAAAACGATCTCGGGCCAATGGCGTTGGACGACGTTCCGTCGCGCAGTGATCCCAAGGTAGCCGCACCGGCCGAACTTCTTTGTCATTCGAGCTGCGATCATGGCGGAGTTTTCTCGCTCGTGGACCTGACGCCGTTAGAGGTTGAAATTCTTCGGCGGACAGCCGACCTGGGAATGATTTCCTATGAAGACACTCCGACGCGCGATGTGGATGATAGCAGCGCTTCGGAGGCGTGTTCGGGTTCCGAGGACGACAAAACGCAGATCTTTTCGGGCGTTCTGCGATTTGCGGTTGGGGCAAGCCGTAACCAAACAAACGTTTGGCATCGCAGCGTAACCTCTGGTACGTGATGTCAAACGATGTCGCCACGTTGACTTTCGCCTCGGGAGGACGGCAGGCCGGTTCAGACATGTGCAACGAGCGCGTTACCCACGACTGCGTCCGCTGCAACCGGAGCGACCGGAACGACCGCTCTACGCCGCGCGTACACACACCTGCAACCGCTGCAACAAGCGCAGCGGATCGGCAGCACGGCGACCGCTTCTATGCCGCCGTCAGCTGCTTCAACCGCGCCTCTAAAAAGGGGACGCACTGCCACTGAATGCCATAACAGAATATAAACAGGCAGTTTTCTATAGCCTAAGGCTTTATTATTTTTTTTTTCATGATAGGCTTGCAGGGTACAGTGGATGGAAAAAAAAAGAAAAAGAAAAAGATTCAGTACGCCGTCTTGGACGATCACGACTCTAATTAACGACTTTGCCAATAGTACAAATATCGCCACACTCCTTTTCTACGATTATAAAAGACAATGTAATCTTAGCAGTGATATAGCAACGTAGAAATATGATTTCGTGACCAGATAGACGTTGCGAGCGTCCAGCCCATTGCTAACACTAATCACTTATCTCCGATGATGAAAACGCGTGAAAATTCGCATCCTTTATACGGTACGTTCCGGTAATACCTTGAACTTGAGCACACGCATGAAATCCGCCAAATAAAAAATCCGGGCGATGTTCGAGGAGACAAATGCGTAGAAAGCTCCACTGCAGTCGAAGTAAACAAACACGACGGCACGGGCGTTTTGCAGTCTTGAGAGTGCCGCAACGACATCGCCGCACGAGTAGGTGGATCTTCCCTTCTAGTACGTGCTGGGTTATCACAGCGACACACGACGAAAATTCAGTCAAGGATAGCGCTTTTACGCGGAACGATGAGCTTTCACCACGCCGTTTACGTCGACGATCACCACCGACGCCATGTTTGATAGAAGGAGCCCGGCAAGACCAGCATGCTAAGAGGCGCGAGTTCATGATACGTGCGCTTCCGCGCATCCCGAGGGAACGGGAACTTCACCCCCCGCGGAGGAAGGCAAGGAGAAAACATATTTCTTGTTTGTGAAACGATAATTACAGTATCGCGTATCTAAACTGGAACAATTTTACGTCTTGCG